ACAGGTTTTTTTTTTTTTTTTTTTTTTTTTTAATAATAGGTTATCGAGCAAGACCCTTATTGGACGCCTTCCACGGACGAGGAGTACCTACACTTCGGTGACAAAGCAGATAGCGAGAACAGAGCTAAAAAATATATAGATGCAGTCCGTCGACGTAAAGGTTTACCTGTGGATTCTCAACTGGTTATGCACGCGGAAAAACAACGCACTCTATCCAAGAATAAATAATACTGGATAAATAATACTGAAACCTACTCTATACTCTATGCACCTCTGTCATACGACTTCCCACTCAGTCTGTGTACCATTCGCCGTACGCGCGATCCGGCACGTTACGTTTCTAAATATCCTAACATTTCCACGTTAAAATTAATTTATAAAAATTCAACTTTTCGCCATCATCGAGTCAAGCAGCTGAATATAAAAATATCGAGAGCTACATATGTACATTGAAACAAACTGTACGAAGTGTTAAACCTTAAATAATATAACTTAAATAGATACTCAAAATGATAGAAAAAAACCAGTCAGATGAAAAAGTTTCAAACCAGTTTTGCGGTAGTGTAAGAACTACGCTACTTGGACAAAATAATGTGTTTTGAATATATTTTTCTGAATAGCAAAAAGCAGCGTTAGAAACGCGCAGCTACGACTACAGTGCAGAAATATTGTATTGAATGTATTAGAACCTGAGAAAAGATGAAAAAGTAATTAGTATTAAATTGATGTTAAATTCCGAGTCAAACACTCTAGGAAGAAATTCTTTAGCAGTTTGTATTTTCTACGCGCGCACACCAACAAACAATTCAGACATCGACATAATTGCAACTTCACGTTACAATTACATATATGCCATTTCGAACGCCGAAATTACCAGTATTACATATTTCACTTTTATTTTTACTTCTTTTCGAGAGCAGTGAGGTGCGGGCTAAAGTTTTCTTTAAAAAAACGTTCTTCTAGTCATTTCACGCAACATATAAGCTTTTTAACAATTTTTTTAACAACGATTTTTCTCTACTTAATCGAAAAGTCATTTTTGCAGCGGCTTACTATAGCGATTATAGGAGATA